TATTAATCACAAATTTATTAATTTTAAATATAAGTTTACTTTAAAATAAATTTAGAATAATGGTATAAGAACATTTCAATAAAATATTACTAAAAATTAATTTAAATAAAGTTATTAAGAAATTATTTTATATTTTTATTTAACTTGTTTTACATATAGATTTGAAAGTCATTAAAATGATTATAAAAATCTCTTCTTTTTTAGAAAATGAGCCAATGAAAGAATGAATGATGTATGGTAGTTGGTTTTCTCTTTAAATTTATTGATTCTATAAATATAAAATATTATTAATTAATAATTATTACTTTAGAATATAAAAAGAAGTTACACTACGTATATACTATTTTTAGAAACACTAATATAATCAAATATAGAATCTATTCAAAATTTATTCATATAATAAGTTATTTGTATTTAATAATAATCAAATAATTTGTATAAATTCCATCTATTATAAATTTATTTACAATTAAAAGAGTAAATTGTTATAATACTTTTATATTTATAAATTTCTATTAACAATTATTTTCATGAAAAACTTGACATAATAAAAAAAAACAACAAGAGGTTAATAATTCTTATACTCTTTTATTTAATTAGTTTATCTCTAGAAATTATTTGAATAAATAAAAGTTACTTGTTAATCAATTTAATACAGTAGAGTAAGTTCATTAAAAGATTTAAATCCTTAAAGTATAATATGGTAGGTTACTGTATAAATAAATTTAATTTATTCATCTATTTTATAATATCAATTCGTTTAAATAAATAAAAATAAAATAAACAATAATCATAGAATGATTAATACATCAAAAAATTAAGATAAAAAAGAATTAAAAAGTAAATTAAAACTAATTAGTGTAGAGTTATTAAGATTAGTAAAAATAACACAAAATAACGCTTAGTCAAACCATATTCTGTTAAGATCTCTTAAAAAAAATGTTATTACAATAATTTTCCCCCACAAAAAATTTAGTTATTATGCCTATCAACAATTTGACTAATTTCTTATTGGGAATTGATTATTTCCGTTCATCCAAAATGCTGCTTCTATCATAGCATTTTTTTTCATAATATTCTCAATAACTAATAACTATTCTTAACAAAAACTATTACAAATAAAAAAAATATTTATTATCATTCAAAGAAAGTTGATTTTTACAAAAAGAAAAAAGAATTAAGAAAAAAAAAAAGAAATGAACAAATGGAAATTGAACCATCTATTGAACAATGCTCACTTCATCGAGTTAAAAGAATTGTAATTGATTGTATTAAAGAAGACACTACTGGAAATACAAAAAATATTCAAACATTTTGGTCATTATTAAAACAAACCCTTATTGAACAAAGGCTTGTATATGATGATACAAAAGAGGTTATAAGAACTTCTAATGAAGAAAAACAATTACGTGACCTACAAATGAGAGCAGAAGAAAATCGAAAAAAAATTGAAGAAATGGTTATATCTCTCACTAAAAAAATTCAAAATACTAAACAAATAGAACAAAGAGTAGGAACAGAAGAAATAACACAACAAGATGCTATGATGTTAGAAGAAGCACTTGAAATGGTTAAACAAATGAATGAAATGAATAAAAAATCATTAAATGAATTAAAAAAAATAGAAACAATAAAGGCATTAGGTGAAAAAGTTCGAAGAGATAGTTGTAGCTTAATACCTAAAGATAATTTAATGGAAATAAATTGAATAATTATTTTTCTTTTTAAAAATATACAACATATCATTTGTTTACTAATAAATAATTTTTATTTGTTACTTTTGTCTTGCTTTATTAATTGATAACTAAACAGAATATTCAAAGAAAATATATAAAAAACTTAAACATCTAACAACAAAGAGAAAAATAAAAACAAATACGTTAAAAAGTAGATTTATCTTATTGAACTTTCTGTAAAATAGAAAAAATGAGAATAACAATTCATTCAAAACTTACAAAAAAAAATAAAATTCTTCCATTCAATAATCTTAAAATTCATTTATTTAAATAATTACAATGGGAAATACTCAAATTCAACTTGGAAATCAATCAATACTCATTGAAAGAGAATTAGGAAGTGGTGGATTTGGAAAATTATATCTTGCTCATCCACAAACTAATTTATCAATTAATTATGCTTTAAAAACACAATCTTTTTTTGACCAACAAAGATTAGATCAAATTAAAAAAGAAATTGCAATTCAAAAAAAATGTTGTCAGTGTGAATTTGTTTGTCAATTATATCTTTCTGCTGCATTTTCAAATCCAAGAAAAGAAGTATTAATGTTAATGGAATATTGTCCTTCTTCATTAGTTCAAATATTAGAAAAATCATATCCAAAAGGATTACAAGAATCTATTGTACTTGGTATTTTCTATCAAATAGCTAATGCAATATCATTTCTTCATTCCCAAAATCCACCTATTGTTCATAGAGATATTAAAATTGAAAATATTTTGTTTTCTTCAACAAGAAAATTTAAACTCATTGATTTTGGAAGTGCAACATTTGAACCTGAATTATTACGAAAACAAGGTGACTGTGGTACTATTGAAGAAGAAGTTAATAAAATGACTACTCCTGAATATAGAGCACCAGAATTAATTAATGTTTATGAATATCTTCCTATTGGATGTAAAAGTGATGTTTGGGCATTTGGTTGTTTAATTTATAAATGTTTAACTCTCCATACTCCATTTGAAGATAGTCCAATGAAAATTCTTGCTGTAAAATATGATTTACCAAATTGTTCTCCTCTTCTTCAAACTTTATTTAAAATGATATTTATCAGAAACCCAGTACAACGAGCTGATATTTTTCAAGTACTTGGATTTATTACAGACGCAACTAAATTACCAAATCCTTATATTTCATTCAGAAAACCTTTCCAATTATATTACAACCAAAATGTTCAACAACCTCAACAACAACACATCAAAGATGACATAAAAATACAAAAACAATCATGTCATCAAAATAGTCAACAAAATGAAGTAAAACATAAAGGTGATAATATTAAAGTAAGTGGAACAAAAACTTCTATAATATCTAATCAACAAAATACTTCTGAACCTTCAAAAAAAACTCATGTAGAAATTAATGAAAATACAATTAATATTTGTGGTAAACTTGCAAAAGGACTACCTCGATCTCCAAGAATAGCAAATACTCATTCATCAAAACTTCCAAAAGAAACTCCAAAAACTAATGAAAGTCATCAATCTTATGACTTTGGAACCTTTAACTTCAATGAACCTGTAAAAGTTTGTATTCCGCGTCAAAAACAAGAAACGAGTCAGTCATTTGAATTTAAAGATAAATGTTCATTTGATGAAGTAGATCAAGATAAAAAACAACTTCATACTAATCATGACTCTCATCAGCAATCTCTAAAAGTTTCCAAAACTAAACAACCTCATCTCTCTTCTGAACAAACAAACCAATTATCTCCTTCTCTTTTTAATTTTAATTCAACAACCCCATCATATATTCCTCAAGCAAAAGTTGTTCATCAAACAACTTCTAATTCTTCATTTGATTTTGGTCAAAGTTCATTTAATTCTACTCAAAGTCAAAAGAAAGAATTTAATTCATTTAATTTTGACTCACAACCTATGACTTCAATTCCATCACCAATGCCAAAACAAAGGATATCTTCTACTTTTGTTTTCTAATACATATTATTTCATTTATTCTCTATTTTATTTTTTTTGTGTTAATTTTTTATTTTAATCTTATTATTTTATATGACAAATACTATTATTATAGAACATGAACCTTATGGTTTGTATTGACTTCTTTTGTTTTATTTTGTTTTATTATTACTCAACTGTCAGACTATGCAGCATATGCAAAATTAGGTGTTTTTGGATATTTCTTTGTTCTTACGATTGTTTCAATACTCTTATTAGTTCTTTATGTTATTTTATTTAGAAAAAAACATGGTCCTGAAGTAACAGTTGTTAAAATGGCTTAAATTATAATTTAATATGTTTAAAAAAAAACAAAGAACCATTAAATCAGTTATTTACTCATAAGTTATTACTTATTGATTATTATAGTTATTGGTTTAAAGATCATCCAAAGTATACACTCTGTTTTGGGCTGGAACTTCATAACTATCCTCTTCTTCTTCTTCCTCTTCTCCTTCATAACTATCTTCTTCATTTATTTCATCATCAGAAATATCATCTCCAACTCCAAATTTAATTCCAACATCTTTTTTCTCTTCAACATCTTCAGCAGGTAATCTATCAGGAATTTCTTTATATTTTTTTAATTGAATAATTTCATCTGAATTATATTTCTTAATAACATCTGCTTTTCCATCTTCATATTCTCTTAATGATACTAAAATAACATCATTAACATTAATCCATACTTTTCGTTGCATTTGTCCTCGAATATGACATTGTCTTGTTTTTCCATCAAAACAATAGGCTTCAAGTCTTCCATTTCCTAACATACGTGTGACTTGACCATATTCTTGTCCTTCTTCTTTAAAAACTAATTCGTGAATTCCTCCAACATTTCCTCCTTTTCTAGCTCCACTTCTTTTTCCTCCCTTTCCTTTACTACGTGGCATTTTTACTTTTTTAGTTCTTGAATGAATCTTTTTAAACCCTAGATCATTTCTTTGTGTTTTTCTTTTTTCTCTGTGTTTTTCTATTTTTCTTTTCTCACCACTTCATTTCACTCATCTTCTAAAAATCCTAATAATACTGATGTCTCGCTCTTAAAACTGAACATAAATGAAACAAATATTTACAAACCTATAACTCCATCAATTAGTCTATATTCCCTTATAATATCACTTGTTGGATAATGAGAAGAATAAAATATACTATAAATATATTATTAATTATTATTTTGCAATTATCAAAAAAATACCCTCAAGGGTTACTATCTACGCAGTCCTTTGTTACTGATGTCTGGAAAATCTAACAAACAAAAACAAACAAAACAAACCAACCCACTTATCGTTGCCA